TTAGAGAGGGCTGAAAGCCCTATGAAGCGGTATATAAGTCTAACTGCTACTGCTATATTGCTATTCTTATGTTGCTAATGAAAGTAAACTTTTAAATCACACAGAGCTCTTTAGCAAGACAGCAACAAAAGGATGCAAGAAGAAGCACAAATACCTCTGTCAAAACTGTGCTGTCATATGAAGGCTGGTACTTCTCCCGCTCCTGGAGGGACTGTTTTTCAATCTTCTCCCTATCTGTTTTCTGTTTCCGGTCTGCTCCTTTGGGCTGGGGAAAAACAGCCTCACTTAAAATATAGCAGATCTTCAGCAACGTTTGACACATGCCAACTAATCATGCTTCTCATGAAACTTCTCTGCATATAGTAATGTATGTTGGATAACTGGCAGTCGAACATATGACCAATCTCTGCTGATTACTTTGTCTTCCAGACAATCTGAATATTCTTTCGGCTACTTAGATCCTTAATGTTCACACATGAACAATATTGCCCAAGACTGTTACCACCCAACAAAACTGCATGTGGATCAGCCTTTAACTCAGCTCTTATTCCATTTCCAAACAGAGAAGCCTGCTTGGCAGCAGTGCTGGCTGAATAATATGTGGTCCCCTTACGCCAATGTGAAGATTTCCATTTTTTTGAATGATTTTGGAACGACATTGGCATCCCCTAAGCCTTGACACCCTCCACCTTAACTTGGCAATGATTCTTTTACTCCGTCCTGCTTTCATTATACTGTACCCAGGGCAGGGAATAGGAATTGTAGTATCCTTGCAGTAGGAATCCTTCCTTTCAACAACTGTGTTTGCCCCTACTGAGTTAGGCAACATTACCTTGAAGACTTTGATGAGACAGCTGGCGGAGTGCAAGTGTTCCATGTGCTCACCCTTCTCATTGGGCTTGAAGGTGTCAGCTTGGATGCGAAAGGGGACCCCTTTTTCCCCACCATTCTTACGAAGTGTGAACTCGGTACTAATGCAGTGGACCTGTTTCAAAGAGAGAAAGAGGAAAAAGACATGCCTCTCTCAGTTGAGAGAAATGCTGCTGGATCAGACCACAAGCATCTGTAGCCTGCAGACGATTCCCTAAATGCACCACTGAAGCACCCATGTTTTCCTTCACACACACCATTGCTTTCCCATAATTAGTGTGGAGGGGCAATGAACTTTCTGAAAGTAATATACAATCACCATAACTAATCAATTTTCTGCAGCCTTGAAATTCATAACTACTCTCTCATCTCGTGAAATTTCCTTTGATCAGCTAGAATGAGAGCGCCAATGTCTTCTTGTAGCTGGTATTGTTGACTTTGACTGGCAAAGGCTCTACACGGTTTTGGGGCAGAACATTTTTTTTAATGTATCGCCCCTAGTTCCTTTTGTGTGGAAAGCGGATACTTTGGTATTAATCTATAGCCTTTCTTTTCAAAGCCAATTTTGCTTCCCCCGTTCATAAAAGCTGGGTGTGTGTCTGTATACAAATCAATTCTTGCAATTTGAAGGTCATTTTAAAAGAAGCAAGAACATCATTTGAACACATGGGAGTGAAATCTGCAGGTAGGATAATCACGGGGTTCTCAAAATATAATAAAATATGGGAGGAGGATAATTGATGGAGGATCCCCTAATATAATCTACTGGGTGCCCATTGACCGTGAAATGTTCACTAACTTAGTGAGGAAGAACAAAAAAGAATTGATGACTGAAATCCCGAATGAGGAATAATCCATGCTGGCCAGTTTTGTTGCAGATTCCCCTCCTCCATATCTTTTTCATATATATTCTAAAAATTTCTATCATCATACCAATATCCATTTGGCATATACTTGGTCTAAACACAGAATTTGGGCTTATTATTTGTGTAAAGCAATGACCATTTCAAAATTATGCAGAAAGCAAAGCTAGGAAGAGCTGAATCAAAATATTGGTGTGGTCCTGTCTGAAACCTGCTTTTTTCTAATTTTTTTAAATAAGATTTTTTTTATACTACCTTTATCATTTTATAAGTAACTCTAGGTGACAAACAAAATAATATTTCTTCTTCCTCCTAGTTTCTCTACAACAATCCTGTGAGGTGAGTTCGGCTGTCCCATTCCTCACCTAGCCAACGTTCGTACCTATGCCGGGACTAGAACTCAGTCCCCCAGTTTCCGGGGCAGCACCTTAACCCCTACACCAAACTGGATCTTCCTCCCCCTCTGATTATTGGGGGGAGGGCGATTTCATTGCTTCTAAGCCTGTCGTAAAATTTGCACTACTGTTTTCATAAAAGCAAATGAAAGGCGAAGGGATGAAGACGAGCCTACTGACCAGCAGTTTGCTACCCACCTGCAGAAAGACTGAAGTGCGCTTAGTTGGGTCCCACAGGAATTCCACAGTATTGAGCAAAGTGGAGGGCATGTGGGGCTCCAGAATGCCCACAGACATTGGGATATCTACAACAGACCAGAAAAGGAAAAAAAAAAAAACCTATCAGAACCCTCTCATGAAAAGGGAGCAGAGAATCGGGGGGGGGGGCAGGGCGGGGAAGCTGCATGGGATCAGCCGCGGAAACCCCAGTTTGATCAAATAAATAATGTTTCCCATACTCTTTCCCCCACCCCCCAAATTCTTTCTCAACTTTTTCATGGGGATGGCTGGCTGGACAATCCTGCAGTCCTCTTTCCAAGGGAGGGGGAGGAGAGCGTCTGCAGGGTCAATAAAGTTAACAGGGCAGCCACAACTTTGCCCTGAAGACTGCCTCTTGTTAAAAAAAAAATACATGCATCAGTGACCATGTTTTCTTGAAAAATAAAAAAAGACAAACCTGAAAAAAGAGCAAATCTGAAAGAGGTTGATAAAAATAATATCATGTTTATAAATCTTGTTTTATAAATCAAAGCTTCCAAGACCAAAAACCAAGACAATAAATAAAACTAAAGGACAGATTTCTGCAACTTGACTTTTTTGATTCGCCAAAGGGTACCGAAGTGTTTGCAAGGGCAGCAAGTGTGGGCTTTTAATTAGAATGCTCTTATTGTACTGTGTGACGGGTGCAGGGGATGCCAAGAATGGATTAAAATAGAAAGGTTCTTCCAGCCAAGCACAGACCAGGCATGAAAATGGGGAAAGACAAAACAGTAGGTGCTGGTGAAACAAAAGATAAGCCAAGAATTGTGTCCCAAAAGCTTGTAATGGTATTGCGGTAGAGGCTAAGGCTTTGGGAAGAAAGGACCATGGAGAAGCCCTTCTAATTGGAGAAGATATACTGCTATAAGAACATTCACAATTTCTTTATCCATAGTCCTTGACATAAGTGATCACTTACTGGCCTTTTGAAGTTATAACAGCAAAAAAAAGGGGGGGGGATTTATGACCAAATCCCTGCACTGATGACTTTTGTAGCATCCCCCACAGTCTTGTGATCAAATTTTGGGTGCTTGGCAAAGAGCATTTATTTATGATGGTTGTGGCATCACCATTTGCAACCTTGCCAGCCAGTTTCCAACAAGAAAAGCAAATAGGGGAAGCTGGCTTTGCTTAATAACTGCATGATTCACTTAAAAACTGCAGTGATTCACACAATATTGCTAAAGAAGGGTGTAAAATTGAACATGATTCACTTAACATCCACCTCACTTAACTATGAAATTTCTGGTACTAATTGTAATCATAGGTCAAGTGATCTCTATCTGTACAGCAGAACTGAAATGATCAATCCAGAGGTGGTATTCAGCAGGTTCTGACCAGTTCTGGAGTTCTCTGCCTAGCGAAAATTTTGAGTAGTTTGGAGAACTGGCAAATACCATCTCTGACTGGCCCGTCCCCATCTATTCTCTATAGAGCCGAGGTGACACAGTGGTTAAATGCAGCACTGCAGGCTACTTCAGCTGACTGCAGTTCTGCAGTTCGG